GAGTGATGCTCCTGGCCAGCTGTTGTAATGCTCAGCTGCTTGTAGTTGTTGTGGGCCCTTCAGTCTCTTTATCAGGTGTGGGGAGCCCCAACACAGTTGGCTGCAACTTCTAATACCACATTTGTGTTGTAGTATTTCTTTTAATTGAGTAGGCCCCCAGCATGGCAGGTTTTTAGGCTCAGGGGCTTCAATTGCTATAAGCCTCCAGCCTTTAGGTCTCTTGTCAGCTCTCTGAGGATTGCAGCTGCATGGGGCTGGCCTCAGGCACAGGAGCACCCAATTGTTTCAGGCTTTGGGAGGTGGGACCAACCCCCTATGTGGGTCTTTGAGAAGCACAAGTCTTCTGCAGCTGACAAGCCCTGCTGCCCATAGGTCTACACACACAGTCAACACAGTCCTGCCCCGTGTGCACGCCCTGACCTCCAGAAGTGGACCCAGTCTCTCCACGGCGGGAGCCCCACACACTCCACCACCGCCCCACACTCTCCACCCGCTCCTTGTGCACGCCCTGCCCCTCTGAAGTGGGCTCAGTTGCCAGGCTGCAGAGGATCCAGTCACCAATCTATGCAGGCCAACAAGTTGCCTGAGGGCTTGTTGTTGGGTGGGGCCAGTCTCTAGGGTGGGCTGCCTGCCCTGGCTGATCTGGATTAAATTGGTGCTCTAGTGGGTGGGGCAGACCTGCACTAGCAGGCTCCAGAGAGAACTCCAATAGCGTCTGTGTCAGCACGCCCACACCAGGCCACAACAGTGGCCGCTGCCAATGTCCTAGTCCCTGAAGAGGTCTCACCTCTTACGGAGATGCACTCAGGGCCTATCAGGTGGGTATCTTTTCACCAAAGCACTGTGCACCTTTCTTTCTGGGGATTTTAGGTTGCTTTCTGAAATGGGTGAGTTTGCGCATGGGCCCTTTAAGAGCCAGTTTTAATTTCTTTGCGAACCAGCTTTTCTGGGGCTACTCCCCAATGTTTTAGTAGCCGGCAAAGTCAGATATTATGCCACTCGTCTCGATTGTGCTGGGTCCACAAAGTGCCTACAGCGGGGGTGCTCCACGGCTCAGGGCCCCGCTCCTCCAGGGAGGGCTGTGTACCTTTGGGCTGCTCCTGGGTGGTTGTGAAGCTGGCGGCTGGTGAAGGCGGTGTTTTTCCTCTCCAGAAGGGAGTTTCTGCCTCTTCCACCTCAATTAGGATTGTTGTTTGTTGCAGGAGTTCCTCTTATCCAGTTTTCAGTTCTCTCTCAGGGGTAATTTTTCCATGAGTAGTTGTAAATTGGCTGTGTCCGCGGGAGGAGGTGAGTTCAGAGTCTGCTTACGCCGCTATCTTGCCTTCGAGAAGTTTTTTTTCTGATTTAAATTTTCTAGTGGCTACATTTAAAAAGTAAAAAGAAACAGGTGAAAATTAATTTTAGTACTATATCTTATTTAACTCAATAGATCTAAAATATTATCATTTTAACATACTCAATACAAAAGGTTATGAATGGGGGCCGGCCCCGTGGCTTAGCGGTTAAGTGCATGCGTTCTGCTGCTGGCGGCCTGGGTTGAGATCCTGGGTGCGCACCGACGCACCACCTGTCAGGCCATGCTGTGGCAGCGTCCCATGTAAAGTGGAGGAAGATGGGCGTAGATGTTGGCTCAAGGCTGGTCTTCCTCAGCAAAAAAAAGAGGAGGATTGGCATGGATGTTAGCTCAGGGCTGATCTTCCTCACACACACAGAAAAACATTATTAATGGAATATTTTACATTCTTTTTTCATATTAAATCTTTGACATTCATGTGTATTTTATGCTTACAGCACGTTTCCATTCTGACTAGCTGCATTTCAAGTGCTCAACAGCCACACGTGGCTGGTGGCTACCATATTAGGGATGGCTCAGCCCTAAAGTCACATATGATCAGAAACCCTAAGAGATTACCCAAATTATTGAGCTGTGTATCAAGTCAGTGACTTTCCAAGTCAGAGGGAAGCTGTTGTACTGGAAAAGCACTAAGGGAGGGAAGTCTTTCTGAAACCTTCTCTCTTTTCTTTGTTTATTATCTATTCTTTCTATATCTATGAGAGAATAATAAAATAAATCATGTTTCAAAAAACATGAAAATAATGACTGTGTTTTTCATTAGAGAATGTTTGGGATTATTTAGTAACTGATACAGAGTGTCTCTCAGACCCCATGCCGGGTCTCTCATGTCTAGCCTTCAAGTGTTTCATCCCTTTTCCTGGCCCCTCATTTCTGCTCCTTGCAATTTAGTCCAGAAATAAGTGATGATACCCTTGATCAACAAAGTCATTTCTGATAAATAATGGCATTGACATGAGGGTGAAGCGCACAAATAGAAACAGCCTCCTGTCTTGCTGCCCTGCCCTTCCCCACCCCTTGCTCAGACAGGAGTCAGGGTTCCTGTGGCAGGGCCTCCACCTCTGGGGAGGAGTGGGCTACAGTATGCCTGCTCCCAGTTACTCCTGCTGGCTCACGGGGATGCTTCTGACATAGATCATTCATGCTTCACTGTGAAGTCCTTTCTCAGAAAAGACCTTTATTATTCAATTTAGAGAGTAGAGAGGGGGAGAGAGAGAGAGGTGTGTTATTGGGAGGTCAAGATGGGGAGGACTGTAAGATTTTTATTAATGAGATTCTTAAGACCCTACCAGTGGTCAACAATCCTGTGAAGCCTAAATGGACAGACACTCCAGTCTTCATACTTCAGAAACTACCTCTTGAAGGCTAAACATTTTTTATGGGTATAAGTAAATAGTGTCCCTTGTTTTATTTTTCAGGTATTCAAACTTGAGTCCTTGATGTCACAAAGAAGAAAACAAATTGATCAGTTTGCCAGTGAAATTGAGAGATTTGACATTCTCTTTAATGTTGCTGGTGATTCATAACTTTTTAATTTCACTCTCCTTACAGAAAGTTTTCTATGTCTTTTATTAAAAGAATTTGATAATATGGCGAAATTATTCATTGTGAACCCTAATATATTCCTTAGGAAATACAGCTGGATTTTGGGCAGAATTTTTATTACAAGTAAGATTCAGCAAGTAGGACAGCCATGGAATTGACATGGGCTTTTGGTCTAAAGTCAATTAAGGATCCTCAAGACAACTGGTACCAGTCCAAAGCTATGGATCTTCCCGAGGCTGGGAATAGTCTCACACCCATGCACTTGTCGCTGATGTTCAACTAGGACTTATAAAACAAAGTGAAAAACTGTTTTCCAGGAGTGTCTTTAAAGCAAAGTATATCTACCAGAAGCCAAGTACACAGTTTATTGAAATGCAAATGTGCCAAATTTTTTGGCCCAACATTTGGCAAGTCCTTTACACCTCCCAAGCACAGCGGACAATTACTCCCAGCCAAAGAAGTTTCATTCTGTCCCTTTGTATACAGCACAAAGAGAATGGCTTAATTGAACTTAATAGGGCGGTACCCAACTTGCTGATTTACACACAGAGGGCGAGAGGCTGGAGCTGGAGCGGGTCGCGGGGAGCAGCTTGCGGGAACAGGGAGTGCTACTGCTCACTCCCTTCTCTGGTGTGACACTGGAGACGAGGACAGGTGAGGCTCTCACAGAACTAACTAGACACAATCTGACGTTCCAATTTTCTTACGTGGTGTTACATTTATACTGCAGCATTGATAGAAAACTCCTAGAGCCTTCTAATATATTTTTATGACTCATCCTAACCATGTTTCAGGATGAAAAACATCTGGGTCTATCCCTAGTTTATCATGTGTTACAATGTATGGAAATTAAATTAAAGCAACGATTTGTGATGATCTGTTTGATAAATAACTTGCTCGTCTCTCATATGAGAATATACCCAGAGCCATGAAAAAATCAACTAGCAAAGTTAGTTTTTGAGCATCTATTACATTTTCATCAAAGTAAGGGATATAGAAATATAGCAAGAAATGTGGTTGGTTCTTGCTGTCATTCGATCGAACTGAAGGTACAGTGCTACATGGGAATCACAACCAACAATATTTTATAAGTAATTACATACTTTTGGTCCAGGAGACAGTGAAATCAATTAGGACTCCATTGTTTAGAAGGCTTCCTTGAGGAAACATGACTTGGAAAAGAATGAAGGCTATTTTAAGGTTTTGTTTTGCTCTGCTTTGTTCAATCAATATGCCAGAACTGTACAGTAGCAACATTACTTTGCTGCCCTGAGAAGGTGAGATACTTGTTTTTCCTGCAACTTTGATTTCCCTCGAGAATGCTAAATCTGTGCCACCTGCGGGCACTGTAGCTCTTGAAATAGGAGTCAAATAGGGCAGGTGTCCTCATTTGTTTGTTTTTAATGGTGTTGATGTTTCCTGTGCTTTTGGTATAGAGCTTCTTATGTTTAGTGGCTCCAAACTCTTGCCTTTTTGTTTTGTTTCATTTTTTGGTGAGGAAGATTGGCCCTGAGCTAACATATGTTGCCCATCTTCCTCTTATTTTATATGTGGGACGCCGCCACAGCATGGCTTGATAAGCAGTGCATCAGTCCATGCCCAGGATTTCAACCTGTAAACCCTGGGCCACCAAAGTGGAGCAGGTGAACTTAACCACTATGCCACCGGGCTGGCCTCTTGCCTTCTTCTTTTAAAAGAAGGATCCTGGTTTCAAATAACAAATTTTTTTAGCTTAAGTTGTTGAGACACTTACTTACCTAATGTACCAAGTGATACTATGTTTGAATTGTTAAAAGTCTTGTTAGGGAAGGGACAGTGGTCTAAGTCAACAAGTGACAATAAAAAAAATGATAAGGAAATGGAATAGAAATATCTTCGAATGATAATTTTCCCCATTGTTTACTCACTCTTCCAGTTTTGTCCATCATGGAACCATCCTGGACTGTGGGGAGAAAGACTGGGACTTCTCAATGAGTCTCAATGTCCGCAGCATGTACCTGATGATCAAGGCATTTCTCCCTAAGTAAGATGACCACCACTGCTAGGGTGAGCACCACGTTAGTCTCCAGGTCTCCATCTTGGGCATCTGAAAGAATCACCATGTGTGCTGAGGAGTAATAATAGTTAACATAATGACTAACATGTATTGAACGTGAATACCAAGGCATTTAATATAAATTAACTCATCGAACCTTCCAGCACACCCATTCAAAGAATATTTATTAAGCACTTTCTACATGCCAGGCTCCATTCTAAGTGCAAAAGACAAATCAGAGAACTAAACAAAGTCTCTTCTGTAAGAGAGGTTCCATTTTGGAGAGGTGAGGCAGGATAATATATAATCAAATAAACATGTAACATGTGGGGTGGTTATAAGTGCTGTGAAGAAAAGAGAAGCTCAGTTATCAGGCCAGGACCTCGGTGATAAGGTGAGATTTCCATAGAGGCCGAATGAAGTGAGGGAGCTAACCATTCAGCTGTCTGGGGAGAGGCCTCGAGGGAGAGGGTCAGCAAGGAGGCCTGCGGGCCCACAACAAGCCAATGAGGTAGATACTACTTTATCCCATCCACTGGACTGAGGGGGAAACTAGGAGGTTGGGAAACTTGCTCAAGTCACATAACTAGCAAGTGGCTAGAGTCAAAACTAGGCACACGCTCTCAAGATGGATGCACCCCACTGCTTTTCTGTACCCTGAGCATCCTCCTTGCACTCCTGTCTTGCACTGAGCCACAGATGTTCCAGAGAGCTGAGAGACTGTGTGCGCTGAAGAGTGTTCCTCCTGAGTCAGCCACCTTTGAATTCTCCAGCCTTCACATAGCTCGTCATGTTTTTCATTTTATTTTACAAATGAGCATTAAGCACCTTTTGATAGAAAGCACCACACTAAGTGCTCTGGGGGAGAGGGATATAAATATAAATAATATTGACTTCAAATGAGCTTATAAGCCAGCAGTAGCGGACAGCACGGGCTCACACAATGAAAGGGGTTGACTGAGCACAGAACCAGGCCAGTTCAAGGTTGTAAGTTATACCCTAGTGAAATGCAGAAGAGCCATTCTTCTCGTCCATCCCAGCTGGATGAGATGACTGACATCCTGAATGCCGCCGAGCCCAGGGCAGGGGAAGAGCTTTCTAATGGCACAGCAGGGCTGATACTTTGCTCTGAACATTCAACCTAATGTCAAGAAGGACACAGATGAATGCTGAAAGGAAAGATATGGAAATTGACTCAGTAACAAAGGAATTTTCTTTTAATCTACTTGTTTAGTGCCTAAAAGGGGTCATTGGGTGGGTGCATGGAATGTTGAACTGGCAAATTTGTTTAAAATATAAATCACCATTTTTTGCCTGTTTGGAGTTTATGAACCTCTATGTTATTCAGAACTTGGATGCATTTTTGAAGACTGATCCTTAACACAGGATTTGGGGAGAAATACAGGCTATGGTAAAAGGGGAAAGCTTGGGTCACAGTGGGTAGGACATGTCTGAGACTCATTTGTGAGAGCAGCCTCCTTCACATCTGGAGTGCTGTACA